ACATATTTCTATTAATAATTGAAAATTGCAAAATTTACCATTTTTACGTTTCACGTAATTTTGATGAATAGGGGTATCTTCAACAAGGGAGTACTCCCTTTTCTAAGTTCGAGTAGTTTTAGGTTCAATATGTGTGATAAACTTAATATAATTTAATTTGATATGAAATTATAAAATCGCGTGCCTCTTGAGCGGAACATATTTCTATTAATATTTGAAAATTGCAAAATTTAACCCTTTTTCGCTTTACGTAATTTTGATGAAAAGTGGTATCTTCAACAGGGGAGTACTCCTTTTTCTGAGTTCGAGTAGTTTTAGGTTCAATGTGTGTGATAAACTTCATATATTCTGTTTCGATATGAATTTATAAAATCGCGTGCCTCTTGAGCGGAAAGACTTTCTATTAATATTTGAAAATTGCAAAATTTAACCCTTTTTCGCTTTACGTAATTTTGATGAATTGAGGTATCTTCAACAGGGAAGTACTCCCTTTTCTAAGTTCGAGTAGTTTTAGGTTCAATATGTGTGATAAACTTCATATATTCCACTTTGATAGGAAATTATAAAATTGGGTGCCACTTGAGCGGAAGGACTTTCTATTAAGAACATATTTGGACACAATTTATCCCATGTCTGATCTCGAATCTATGCGAGACGCTCTATTAAAAGCGCAGAATAATTTCTTATGACATTTTCATAACATCGACTGCGTTTTTCACAGCACTAATATTGTTATTAAAATCACCGATTGTTCAAAATCGGAAATTCCCATGCAACGGCTTCTAAAACGTTCGCCGAGATTGTGTGTTCGTTAAAACGGCTGACGTATTCAGCGTACAATGACTCTTATGTGGCGTGAAATATTTAATCCGCGACAACTACAGGAATTTGAAAAGTCCTTCTATATTAATTTAATTGTGTTCAGTGTAACTCGTTGTTGCGTCGATAGAGTCTACTGTAATATACTACGGCAATCTGTGGACATAATAATGTGAGATAAATTGCGTCAACAAAATGAAAGCGTTATTTCTCAAATTAACACGGTAATCCGCGGACATAAAAATGTGTGGTAAAGGGCCTGATAATATCGTGTTGTATGTAATTTGTATTTTCGCAAATTTGATAAATCTGAGCTGTTCTTGTAATATTGACACGGCTCTATCGCATTTCTTTCGGTTGTAATGCTTTTAAGACAACCGTTAGACAAATCCCTGCGACAGCAATAAAATTTCATTGAGTTAAATTTAGTTCAAAAAGTTGATTGAAGATACTTTACACATTAATTATTTTATATAAAAAGTTACGCTAGTTTCCCGCCGGTATTTTTACAATGAATAAAAAGTGCCTCGCTCGCACAATTGACAAAAAATAAATAAACAATATGTAATTTTAATCTTTCTTCATGAAACATGACATTTGTCTTCCGCTATTTGTCATTACGGCTAAATAACACGTCACGCTGCCGAAAATAATCGGCTATTTTAATAACAACATTAGCGCTGTGAAAATCGTCAATTGTGCGTTTTCACGGCGATTGTTGGTCTCGGATGGTTGGTCTTGATGTTTCTTCCATATCTATAATCGAGAGCAATTCCATAATCGAGAGCAATTCTGCCGTGTGGAATTTAGAAATCGCCTACGTTTTACTCCATCACCCTTCAAAAAGCACAAAGCTGTAATATCACTCTTCAATGAGCACAAAAACGAGACTTAACGCACCGCTGCGCACAATTCGAAGAAGGTTTGCTACTAGCTTCACAGTGGTACCAGCAGCAATTCCTGAAAACTTTATCAGAAGCGGTCTTACAGAGCGCGAAGGGCGCGAAACAGCGCAGAAGAGTGGGGAAACCACGCAGAAGAGCGCGAAACAGCGCAGAGGAGAGGGAAACGATTTTCGTTCATTATTTATTAGCGTGCGTGAAATATCAAACAATTTAATGGGAAACAGTATAATATAGTAGTAGGGAATGATCACGAGTTAGCGTGCGTCATGAAGTATGTGCACCAAGATGGCGCACAACCTGAACACAGTATGTGTACCAGGTTAGGGTGCGTCATGTTGGGTTATTTAAAGATGTTGAAGATTACTGATATAAACTACCACTGTTTACCGGTTCCCATCAAATTGTTCGAAATTTCACGGACGCTAATGAATAATAAAAGAAAAATGATTCCATCTCTTCTGCGCTCTAATCAGTAAGTAGCAAGAGCCCGAGGCGAGGTTGCTTTGTTTATATAATTTATATGAAAAGATCGTGCCGATTTCCTGTGACGTCATTTTTTGAGCAAGCGAAGCCTAGCAAGTTTACAACTTTCAACTCAAACTATTAATTTGATAAATCTCAAATTTAATTTATGAATTCCCGCTAGCGCTCATTTTGAGCTCCCAAATATCTATACAAATGCATAGGTTTGAGATTAATAATATCCCTTATATATGAAAGGGATCACCTAAGCCTAAGGTTTGCTCTCCTGATTCTATAAACAGTTTTCATTTATTTTAATCAATTATTTTATCGTCTGTTATGGAGTCAAATTAAACATACATACTTCTCAACTTTTATGTTATCGCTTAACGGCGGGCGGTATGGCGCATCATGCAAAGAGTGAGAAACACGCTTGCCATCACACCTCTGATTGTCCTTCGCGGAATCGCATCGCGTGGGGATAATCACATGCGAAAGGACTGCTCGTCGTCGTAGGGCGGTACACATAACCACCGTGGAGGTCGGAGACGGCTTTTTTCATGATCGAGTTCATGCATCCGAAACAAATACATCGCCAACTGATCCCTGGTAACTGAACGAGAGAGTTCTATGCGTAGCAGGGAGGAATTCTGACGTCAAGATAGGCCCAGTGGGTAATGCGTCCA